ATAACTGCTTGCAGTTCAACCAATTGAGCTGACCTAGAGGAAGTGGTGAACTTAACTGTTTGATCAGAAAATGAATAAGAAGCAGTTCCAGTGGAGGAACCGTCAGTAAAAACCAATAAACCATTTTTAACAGGATGAAGCGAAGTTCGTACAGGGAAAACAAAATCATGGGTATATAAAAAATGTAAGAATTTATCTGGAGGAAGATGGTTATCAATAGTTCCAGTAAAAGAAGCACATGCAATAGGCCAAAAATCTGTTTGTTGAAATAACCAATTTATCTGTTTCTTGGTATATGGCTGAATAATCACATCAGGATCTTTGCCAAAATAGGTAACACTTAAATTTCGTGCCATACTAATGATATCAGCCACAGCTTGATAATAAGGATATATAACCTTCAAAGGAGAGGATGGAAGGTGAACCCACATAATTGGTGCCGATTTCCAGAATACAGCCGTAGGTGTGAATGTAGTACGACAAATGACAAGGAGTAATGGTTGACTGTAATCTATGGTTGTAACAAATTGAGAGGCAATGGCTTTTTCTACTATAGACAGTGCCTGACGGCCTTCCTCCGTAAGCACTCGAGGAGACCTAGGATCAGAGTCTCCCTGTAAAATATTAAATAAAGGTTTAAGCTGACCTGTAGTTAGCTTTAAATAAGGACGAATCCAATTGATATCACCTAATAATTTTTGGAAGTCATTTAAGGTTTTCAAATTGTCAAGTCTAAATTGTATTTTAGGAGTAGTAATTTTTGGACCCGAAAGATGATATCCTAAATAAGTATAGGGGTCTTTAAGTTGTACTTTTTCTGGGGCAATCTTTAACCCTCGGGTAGACAAGTGTTCCTTGAGATCATAAAAACATTGAAGAACAAATTGACCATCTTTACCAGCAATTAAAATATCATCCATATAATGGATAATATACATTCGTACCCATTTGTCTCTAACTGATTGTATGGCAGCAGCAACATATTTTTGGCACAGAGTAGGGCTGTTTGACATTCCTTGAGGCCATTCATAACGTTTCATTGGTTCTTTAAAGTTAATTGATGGAATACTAAAGGCAAATCTTTCCCGATCCAAAGGATGTAAGGGAATAGTAAAAAAACAGTCTTGAAGGTCAATAACTATCTTGAAAAAAATGAAGAGGAATGGCTACTGGAGATGGTAGCCCAGGTTGAAGTGCCCCCATTGGAATCATGGTTTTATTAATTGCTCTTAGATCTTGGAGTAAACACCATTTTCCTGATTTTTTCTTGATAACAAAAATGGGAGTAGTCTATGGAGAGGTACTTTCTGTAATATGTCCTGCTTCGAATTGTTCCTGTACTAACAATCTAGCAGCTCTTAATTTTTCAGAAGGTAGAGGCCATTGATCAACCCACACTGGTGT